AAATACAATTTTTAAAATTGTCTGTCTGTTTGTTCCGGGTAATCTGCGAAACGGCTGGACCGATATAGACGGGACTTTCACTGGCAGATAGCTGATTTCATAAGGAGTAACTTAGGTACTTTTATTTTAGAAAAAGAATTAGGGTTCCGCGCAAAGACATAAAAACCCTAACACGCGAACGAAGTCGCGGGGAACAGCTAGTACATATATATAAAAGTAAATGATGAATAAAAGCATAAATAATGTACAAATTAAAGTTACAGAAAATGTAAAAAATGTAATGTAACCCTCCATCGACTCGAACGCAGCCGGGTCATAAATACCATCACATTAAGTACCTGGGCATTAGGGATGGAAAGTATAATGTTAAATTAATTAGATGTACCTTTGCCGAATATAACTTGGAAACCATACAGCTTGACATGACCTTTAGATTCAGGTAAAGAATCGACTGCAATACAAATAAACCTAGCAAGCTAACAGCATAGCAAAGTGGCGAAGCAATCAGCTTTGTAGCGGTTTCTAACGGTTGCCGTTGAGCAATCAGTTTCAAAATAGGAGGTTCAGATGCCTGGGTGATCAGTAATCGATTGCTGAAAACATAATTTGAAAATTCAAAACCGTTCTCTAGATAATCGTGGGACAGACGGACAGACATCGTGAAATCAATAAGTGACTTCGCAAGCTTCGCCACTTAATAATAACGAAATGGACGCTTCTTTCAGTGAAAAATATTAAATTAAAAGTCACCGAAATTCTCTTTGAGGTGCTTTGTAGTAAATTAAAAAATAAACTAAAAACGTAACAAAATAAAATGTGAATTGTGTGTAATTATTAAAAAATATAGTTGACGTAATTATATAGGTATTACGTAGGTACTCAGCCTAATACTTCTAAGTGAGACCGAGTCAGAGTTTTGTAAAATGGACAAAATTTAAGAGCGTGCACTCATAAATGATTTTGTTTAAAAAAAGATCTCGATGTCTTAAGTCCTCTTCCTCTAGTATATCTTCATGATAACAACTCAAAATAATAATAAACTGCGGTTGCCAAACTGCCTGCCAAGCGTAGCAGCTACGGTAAAACGGTAAAACCCATAATATGATACAATTTTATGGGGGAGGCGTATGTTCAAGTGTGGGCTTTTATAGGCTGTAATGTAATTCAATTGTATAAAATGGATTGTGAAAAAATGCGGTAGTAGAAAGCGTTTAATTACCTTTTCAACTGTCGCACAGAACAAGAATTTGTTAGGCCTTTATTTATTATTAGGGATTTAATAGTGGATCCGTGGTAGCTCAGATGGTTAGCGCTCGCTGTAAGCTTCACAGTACTCGAGCAACCCGTGTTCAATCCCCGCCGGCACCAATGAAATTGTTAATTGCAATTTTAAGTGCTGATTTACCACGTGCTCGGCGGTGAAGGAAAACATCGTGAGGAAACCTGCATGTCTGAGTAATAAGGAAAAAAAATAAATTCCGAAGGCATGTGAAGTTCGCCCACACGCATTGAGGCAGCGCGGCGGACATTCCCTTGCCCTAAAACCCTCTCAGAAATGAGAGGAGGCCTGTGACCAGCAGTGGGACATAAATAGGCTGCAACTTTACTTTATTTAATAGTCAACGACAAGTTTTTTACGTTGTATTGTTTTACAACTAAATAAAAACTGATAAATATTATAAACTTACCGGCTATTAATCCTGAGCTAGTGCAGCTGAGAAACGCAGTACGGAGACGGAGCAGTCATTAGAATAATAACGTACAGAAACCGAATCGAGAACAAAACATGAACGTTATGTACCGTGAGTAGTTATTGTAAGGATAGGACAGAATTTGAATAAGAATTTTTATGCTATTCTAAGGCAGTGCTGTCAAAGATGGTAAAACACATTGACTTAATTAAGCAGTTTTTAACATGGTAGAGCCATGCTGCAGCTATATTAGTACTAGGTATAATCGTAGCACGAATGGGTCAGCTCGACCGGGGAAGGACCACGCTCTCACAGAGTACCATTGTCAAATAGCAGCTTAACACTGCTGAGTTTGTTCGTATGGTGAGTGTAGAGAACCGGAAACCCTTTTTCCTGGAAACGAGGCGTTACATCTTAGTCCTCACGGGTAACAAGGCATCTGCATTTTGATTCGTAATCGAGAATAGATGTAAATGTCTATGGGCAGTAGTAACCACTTACCATCAGGTGGACTGTGTGCTCTTTTGTCACCATTATCATATGGAAAAAATAAGCCTATACAGCTATACCATCACCCCCTTGTTCTCCAAAATAATGGAATCCGTTATAAAATGCCACCTCATGCGGTACCTTGAGGATCACCAGCTGATTAGTGACCGCCAATACGGTTATCGTCGGGGTCGATCAGCCGATTGATGGTTGATGGCAAGGTGATCTTCTGGTCTACTTGACTCATAGATGGGTGGAGGCAGTAGAGTCTAAGGGGGAGGCATTGGCCGTTAGTTTGGACATTGCAAAGGCCTTCGATCGGGTTTGGCACAAAGCGCTTCTTTCGAAGCTCCCTTCCTATGAACTTCCCGAGAAATTGTGCAATTGGATCACCAGCTTTCTTGCAGATCGGAGCATCAAGGTCGTTGTAGACGGTGCATGCTCCGACTACAAGCCTATTAATGCTGGTGTTCCACAAGGCTGTGTGCTATCACCAACACTATTTCTTCTGCATATCAATGATATGTTGCAAACCGGTAGCATTCATTGCTATGCGGATGACAGCACTGGTGATGCTCTATACACCGGCCGTGCCAATATTTCTCGGGAAAACGTCGTCGAGTACCGGAACAAACTTGTGTCTGAAGTCGAGTCTTTGCTGAACAAAGTCTCGGATTGGGGGCGACTAAATCTAGTCCAGTTTAATCCTCAGAAGACACAAGTTTGCGCGTTTACCGCTAAAAAGAACCCTTTTGTCGTATCTCCTCAGTTTCAAGGCACTCCCCTTGTTGCATCAGCCAGTATCGGAATCCTCGGCGTCGACATATCGAGTGACGTGCAGTTTCGTGGTCACTTGGAAGAGAAGGCCAAATTGGCCTCTAAAAATCTTGGCGTGCTCAGCAGACAGGACAGTATTTCATGTCGGCACAACACTTGCAACTTTACAAGGGCTCCCCAGCGGCAGCTCCTTCCACTTGACCGTATTCAGCGCACAGCGGCTCGAATCGTCGACGATCGAGTCCTTTCCGATCGGCTCGACTCATTGGCGCTGCGAAGAGATGTTGCATCTCTTTGCATTTTCTTTCGCATTTACCACGAGGAGTGCTCTGAGGAATTGTTCGGATTAATCCCAGCCGCCAAATTTCACGAACGCACATCGCGGCAGAACCCCCGATACCATCCGCACCATCTGGATGATTGGCGGTCCACCACTTTGCGATTTAGAAGATGTTTTCTTCCTCGCACAACTTCCTTGTGAAATAGTTTACCACCAGCGATTTTTCCGGACCGATACGACTTAGGGACCTTCTAGAAGAGAGCCTACTCCTTTTTAAAAGGCCGGCAACACATCTGCAATTCCTCTAGTGTTGCGGTTGTTCATGGGCGACGGTAGTCACTTACAATCAGGTGAGCCGCATGCTCGTTTGCCTCCTCTCCTATATAAAAAAAAAACACTCTTGCGTTGTAGGCACCCACATTGTAATCGGATGGAAAGACGGATGATGGCAAATTATTATTATAATAAATTATTATAAGTCGACAACGAAAGGGTGGAGACTGGTGACTGGCCGAGCGTCTGGTTTTTCGACGGTAAAGAGCGGAATTAAGTCATGCAATTCCGGCGCACACTTTCACAAATGTATCCTGTAGAAAACCGAGAGATACGTGGTAGAGCCACGCTACAGTTATATTATGGCTGTAGAACGAATGGGTCGGCTCTACCGAGGTAGGATCATGCCCTCACAAAATACCAGCGTAAAATAGCAGCATAATGCTGATGTGTTTCTGATGGTGAGTGTAGAGAACCAGAGACCTTTTATACTGGAAGTCAGGTATTCTATCTCAGTCCTCAGGGGTGACAACCAATCTGCATTTTGATTCTTAATCGAGGATGAATGCCTTAAAATAGATAAACAATAAAAGGCGGTCAAGTGCGAGTCGGACTCGCGCAGGAAGGGTTCCGTACCATCGTAAAACACGTTTCTAGTAGGGGAGCCCCTTTAATTTTTATTTTTATTATTTGTGTTTATAGCAGCAAGCGCCAACAGACATACAAATTATGTGAATATTTTAACTGTCTATTTCGGATTATTAGATACAGTCCGCTGACAGATAGACGGACGGACGGACAACGGAGGCTTAGTAATTCCCTTTATTCCCGTTTCCCAGCTTAGTAATTACCCTGGATTGTTAACGAGTATGTTTACCTGGAACAAATAGTCCGACTAGGTAAGTCCAAATTTAACCGAGAGTTCAATCGACGGATTCAACTCGGCTGGGCAGAGTTCGCGAAATTACGGCACATCTTCTCGTCAGGTATACCTCAAAACTTGAAAACGAGATTGTACAACCAGTGCGTGTTGCCAGTGATGACCTATGGAATTGAGACGTGGTCCTTCACTGCTGGCGGGATGAGGAAGCTCAAGGTCGGTCAGCGAGCTATGGAGAGGGCTATTCTCGGAGTTTCTCAGCGTACTTAGAAATAAGGATATCCGCAGTAGAACCAGAGTTACCGACATAGCCCAACGGATTAATAAGCTGAAGTAGCAATGGGCCGGCCATATAATAGCTCGAAGGACCGACAACCGATGGGGAAGCAAGGTTCTCGAGTGACGAAGCGTAGGGCGTCCCCCCACTGGACCTGGTAAGACATGCAGGAAGTCTATGGATGCAGGTGGCTCAGGACCGTGCTTTGTGGCATTCCTTGGAGGGACCTATGTGCAGCAGTGGACTTGTGAAGGGTTGTAATTATGATGAGGATGATGACCCTTTGGATACGGAACCCTAAAAAGAAAGATGTTACATAATGAAACAAGGACTGAAATAAAAACAATTTAATACTTCCTTCAGTATAACCCAAAACATTACAAAGTCAATTTAGATAAATTTCCAAAAATAATAGTAGTGAATGTATAAAATAAAATCATAGAATTTAATAAAATATGAAATAAGACCTGTAACAAATAATTTCATATTTCTTTCAATATTATCCAAACAACTACAGTCAGTTCAGTAAAACATTTTTGCAAACAATTACATAAATAAATAATTTACACTTTAATATACGAAACATGTGTCCCTTATCGCTTGCACCCATGCGATTTGGTCAGACGCTTCGATGGAAATATTATTGGAATTCAATAAAATAATGCATAATGCAAAAAATTTAAAGGAAGTCGGAAATGTCGATATTCGGTCGAATACTTAACTTTAAATTATGCTTCAATGCTCGAAGTTTTTTTATAATTTTTTAGCTATACAGTGGACCCTCGGTAATCCGGCCCCGGAGTTTAAATGTGACTATGGTAGCGGCCTAGCGGGCGTTAACTATTAGGTACTGTTTAGGTATTCATTGTGCATCACATGACTTTTTCAAAAAGTTTCGGACTACCAGGAGGCTGTGGTAGTACTCTGTACTTGCAAGTCGGTGTAGGATATACAAATTTGATAATCATACACCGACTTGCAAAACGTTTGTCAGATTACCGCGGGTCAACTGTATTTCTTATAAACAAGTATACAAAATTAAAAACGGGTAAGCAAATAAATAATAATAATAATACATTAAGATTAAGTAAGTATAATAGTTTACTACGTCAATCATAAACGTAATTTTATTAAATTATTTTGGCATGTAGATTGCACTGGCAAACAAGGCGTCTATAGCGGCAGTCATCTAACAGAAAATAATAACTACAAACTTTGGTCAAAGGAACTAAACAAGTGCAAAAACACAAAACTTATAACTTATCTCTCAAATACCTTGAGTTACGACTAGTTCAACTTAAAATTAACAAATATCCAACTTGGTCGTTGTGCCATTTTTTTTAATTTTATGCATTTTTCTATTTTTTTACGATTTTATATTTTGTGATGTTTAATGAAAAATTACATACAATAATAAAAAGAAATTTATTATTGCATATAATTTATTTAAAACGTCGCAGTCAATATTGTCGGTGTCAATTGACAACGTAGCGCAGTGTTCAGCGACCTGGAAAAAAGAGACCATTAAAATTTAAGTCGACAATAATGTCACAACTCACAATATTAACATTACACAATAACTTATTTTGCAATTTTACGTCGTCGTATTGGAATTATAATTATAAAATTTAGCCTATGACATTACTATGAAAACTACACTTCAATATTCGCCAAAAAGTTTAAGCTATAGGAATAGAAAAACACATTAAAAATGCATACGTAACATTTTCACCTCAAAAATTACCTATTTATATTATGTTGTGGCGGCGCTGTCGTCGCGCCACAAGCGAAACACATCGAAGACTAAATCGCGCTAACAAAGTTCCGAAGTTAAAGCAGCATATATAAAATAGCTCCGAACTAAAAAGCGACCCTCTTTTCCCAAAAGAGGGTCGCTTTCGATACGGCATAAGAAACTTTAAACAGCTGGTTGTCAGTCCCCTAAGGCGGTTTTTAGGGGGTATCACTTAGGCTCCCCGGTTAGGCGTGAGTCCCCCATAGCCACGATGGATTGCCTATCGTGGTATGCGTAATGCATTTTCCGCCTCCCTACGTAAAGGGTAGCCCTTTTCCAATTGATTCGGGCGCAAAAAAAAAACCACCACTCGGAACGCTGGCCGCTCCTCGGGCAGAACACCTTGCCCGACGGGAGATCTCCCCTTTTCCTTGCACCCGCCATAATGTAATGAATAAAAATTAACCTATTGGTGACCTTAGTCGTCGGTGTCGGTGGCGACAATGCATCTATGATATGACATCGATGGCAAATGTAATTCGTCTTATACCTATAAACATAACAGTGACCGCTTAACATCAGTAAGGTTGGTGTTCATTATCACTTAGGATTATAGGATTTCAATTAATAATAATTACTTCCCAAACGAAGGTGCAAAAAATATTACGCATACAATTTTAACTAATTTCTGCGTAATGAACCATAATTTCTTTATAATGAAACCACTCCAAAAGTGAAAAAAAATTTATAGAAGATACAAAATCGTACAATTAATTAATTTTAATCGCAAAACACTTACGTAATTGGTGCGCTAATTCGTCTTTTTGGTATCCTTGGTCTCTTCCTTAGGCTGTCCCTTGCCGAGCAGCTTGGCAAGCGAGTCCCAAATGCCACCAAGGAACAGAGCGCAGAACAAGTTCTCGAACGGAACGAAGGGATCATGGATACCCAGCAATATTGACGACAACTGCGGACAAATGTTATTCACATTAATGTTGTACAATTCTTTTTCACCACAACATAGGCATTACAAATTACTGCTTTTTGTAAAGTTATTATGGATTGGCAATTGCACTTTTAAATAAAACTAGTTTTTACGGATTTTATCGCGTAGATTAACTTATTTTACATTCGAGCACTTTACTGTGTTGCATTTTCACAATATTTTTTATTTATTTTTGTATTAACCGAATGGTTTCGCCTAATGTCATCATCAGAGTTAGAAGAACGAACCTGTAATTAATTGAGATACGATTCCGTAAGGTTGGTTTCGGTAAATAAATAATTTTTAAACAAGTTAAGATGACAAATATTAAAATAATAAAATGATAAAGCACCTGATCATAACCATATGTGTAAAATAAAAAAATATTACGAGTACATACAATATTAAGGATTGTTTATTTTATGATTGATTTTTATTATTATAAATACATACTTAAACGACTGCAATTATCCTTGGATCAAATTTTACCACAGTCCCGAATATATTATATTATATACATTTACTAATCATAACGTAACACGTATCAATTTTTACTTATTCCAACTTCCCTAGGTTTGACTGGTAGAGAATGTCAACAAATTCACCCTCAGTAACCCCTAAAGAAGGTGTTTGCAATAAAGAATAAATAAATAAAAAACGTCTATACGAAGAACGGCGATTCCGTTAAATCCTCTCTAATACGGAAAGAATATGTCTAATGGTTTCGGGTTAATGAAGTAGATTACTTTTTTTAACTCAGAAAAGAGAACGGAGAAAGTTAACATGCGCTGTAAGCAATACTCATTTTCGCTCTTAAGGCCTTAACAGTCGTTGAAATGCCTAAATCGTGGATATTTAAGTAAAAAAATCTCAATAACTGTTAATTTAATCCACAAAGAAAAAATACAGGGTTACAGAAGAGGATATGGTAAATGTTTTTAATTGAACAAAATAGTATTTTTGTCAACCCCTTATTAGAAAAAAAATCCCCAAAGAGTACCTATCTTTGTCATATTTTGCAATATTTCTCCAAAACGGCACAAGCTTTTTAAATAGTTCTTACACTAAAACAAAGGTCTTAAAAATATAATTTTTTTTAATTGAGAGTTTTATTTTTATTCCCCGTTTTATAAGAGAATATATCATTTTTCCCTGAAATTTAATATATTTACGCGAGCGCGCATGCTCCGTCGCCATTTAAGCTCTGTGACAGTCCGTTTTCGGACATCGTCGAGGGTGGACTGCACGTCGGTGTTGGAGCGACTTCGTTCAAATATATATTAGTTTTTTAAAAGTTTATACTCAATTGTAAATATTTTTATGACTAGAAATACTTAATTTAGTTAATATCTGTACACTGCTAACTGTAAAGATTATTTTCTAAATAAATGAATTTTTGAAGTGCCCAAAGAAGAAATTTTCGCAGCGACGTTGATTAGTGAAATTGAAAAATGCATTTTTATATAATTTAGATGTGGAACGACGAACATGGTCTCGTTACTTAGATTTCGATAGTTTTTAATACCTATGTAATTTTATTGTTGCATATTTTTATTAATTAGTTGATACTGAATTTTATAATTATGTATTACAATAAAACGCTGTTTTTATGAGTATGACTTTATAAAATATTATTGGGGAGGGAAATAAAGATACAGATACTTACATTTAGGTACACTGTTATCAAATTAAATCAAACAATTTAAATAAAAAAAAGAAAGGTGCTTACCTAAGTATAAATAACTATATAAAGACATTCTTGGGTTTATGGTTTTTTTTATGTTAGACAAACTATCATCTAAAAAATGTAAAAATTTTAAATTGGAGAGGGGTTTCTCTACGTGATATAGTTAGAAATGAAGATATTTGCATTAGAACCAGAGTAACTGACATAGCCCAACGGAATATTACAGTGAAATGGCAATGGGCTGGTTATATAACTTGGAAAACAGATAAAAAATAGGAAGAAAGGTGCTCGAGTTGCAACTTCGTACAGGTAAGCGAATTAGTACTCAACTTTTATTCCTCTTCACGTATTCTCATACGCTTTTCTTCACACACACACACACACACACACACACACACACACACACACACACACACACACACACACACACACACGCACGCACGCACGCACGCACACACACACAAATAGGTCGCAAATAATACTTACCTAGTACTATTAGGCAAGAGTGAATAGGTTTTTGTTAAGTCAGTGCAATTCACCATCTTAGACTACATAACCACTTACCGATGGGATTGTAGTTGCTTTGTTACTTGATGGGTAAAAATAGTAAAAAAGAATTTACCCTATGAGAGTTTGCATTTAGATATAATTTTTCTAACCAACCATAAAAATATGATGAGAATATGTATATAAGTATAAAGGTTGCCTCACACGGGACAGTAATAATATTATATTATATCTTCCATTATCTACGCATGAAAAATGTTAAAATCTCTGAATTCCGAGTTATGTTCTAATTAAGAGGCTGAATAGAGCCACATTGATATGCATGGGGATCGTTTTGTAATTTCACGTCATTATCGAAAAAAAATTGTACGTATTTCAGGTGGCGGTTTGCAAAACACGATTCCACAAAAATTAACTCAATAGAAAATAATTGCAAAGTTGCTTCTAAAAATACTTAAATTTTCAACGTCAATTTTTTCTTACGTGGTAGAGCCATGCTGCAGCTATATTTGTAGTAGGTATAGTTGTAGCACAAATGAGTCGGCTTGACCGGGGAAGGGCCACGCTCTCACGGAATAACATGTAAAATAGCAGTTTAACCCTCCTGTGTTTCGTATGGTGATTGTAGAGAACCGGAGAACCTTTTTTACTGGAAACTAGGCATTACATCTTAGTCCTCACGGGTGACAACGCATCTACATTTTGATACGTAATCGAGAATAGATGTAGATGTGTACCATCAGGTGAACTGTGTGCAAACTGTCGTTTGTCACCCTTATTCTATTAAAAAAAACTTTCTGAGATTTCAGTAAAATAATTTTAAGTATTGTAAGCAGTCGTACAATTATTTCTCATGTTAATAAAGCTATTGGGCTATTTTGATTTGTAATAAAGTGATTTTACTTTATAGGTTTTTCTATATCAAGAACCATTTTCTGTCACTACTATTGAATTTGACAGTGCTTGCTGAAATTTAGCATCTTTAGATGGATCAGAATCGCGTGCTGATCCGGCTGTTAGATATTGCAAAAATAATCGAAAATATTTATTTTTACTTTCATGCCGAAGACTACCTTGTTTTATTTTATTACGGTCACATAATATTTATTAGGTTATAAAGCAAGTATTTTTGTAAATGTTGTGTATGTAAATGTAAATGTTTTCATTATTTTGTTATTCTATTGTTTACAGTTATTATCACGTCTTAGCTTTACACCAAGAATTACATTAGAAATTCTTGATGGGATACGATGTAACGCGCATACATTATTTTCATCAAGAACTATAATATATATATTTGTTCTTTTTTTACCAGTAGCGTTTCAACAAAATCTTAAAAAGGCAATGAATTAAAAGAATGCCAATAATTATATAATTTCAAGTCAGTGTTTTACATATAAAGAATAGTTATAAAGAGCCAAAGTTATTATTTTCATTTTGATTAATTTAATTCGCGACTAAAATAAATGTGAAAGGGATTTTATCTGCAATAATAATTTTCGTCAAAAATTACATAGACTTATAAAAGTCATATACACGGTCAATCATACTGAAGATTATCAATTGTACTACAAAATATTTAAAAGACTATTTCCAGTATAATGACACGAATATCATCATTAATGTTTGACTGGCACACTTAAAAGTTTTATCACATGGCTAAATGATTGACTTTTATATTATGATAAGGTCATGCTTTTCTATAAAAAGTTGCAAGAAATTTTAAATCACGGACCTATTGGTTTGTTTTACTTTTTACTTAACTAGTGAAAAACAAGATGGACTGATCTAAAAGTTTACTTTCTTGTGTAAAAAGTGCTATTTAGAATTTTATGCAAATGATAATTAAAGTTTCTATGTAAATAAGTGTAACATAGAGGGTATTATATTCAATGGTAGCGGCCATCCATATTTGCAAAGCCAGCATCATTTTCTGTACAGAAACCGGCAAAGTGTTGCTCAAGGCACTATAAACAAAGCAGCTGATAAAATGTTACACTCAGAACTGTTAACATAAACTGTTTCCGCAAATGTTCTTATAGATAATAATAACTATTCCGCCGTGTTAGGTGCAGGAGCTATTATTAGAAGGAGAAGAGGTAAAATTTTGTTTTAGAAATGCATAATCATTATTGTTTTGTCTGCAATTGAGCATAAAATAAAAAATAACTTCAGCCAAAGAGCATAACTGGCATTATACTCAGGCCCATCAATTGGTATGGAAAAAAATAATTTTACCAGGTTTCAAAAAATCAATCAAAATTCAAAAAAACATAAATATTAAAATAAAAAATGTATGTATGTATGTCTATACATACATATAATGATTTATGGCCGCTTAGTAACTGGCGGTGACTCACTATAACATCCTACAGTCACGCCGAAACTAAGAGGAGAGAATCACTGTAGAAAAGGTAATAATTTATTGTGGATATTTTGTGATAAATTTAAAAAAATTATAAACTTATATAAGTTAATCTAACTTAGTCTAACTTATCCTTATGCGTTACAAAAAAAAAACAAATAATAAAATAGTGAGATGGCGTCAGTTTTTAAGAAGATATAACAAAAATAAACAAAAAAATAAATTTCAAAAAAGTTTAGTATTTAATTGATTATATACCGCTGACACTTAATCACGCTTTTCGAAACCACGCCAGTTGTAAACAATACTTGTGTGAAAAGACAAAATCTTCTTTTGAAATTTCCGCCGAGTTGCAAGTAGAAGGCCAAATAGGTCATGTGTCAATTTTAATTAAATATATTTTATATGAAGTGATCTTGACTA